TAAGATACTCACCAAACCGATCGGATTTGAGCATCTTGATTTTCCTGCCCAATTGATTTTCGATTTCATGGTTAAACTCTCTGGACTTTTCAAAGGTTTTTGACTTATGCTTGATTAAGTAGATATATCCATATCTACTATAATCATTGGTAAAAGTCACTTAAAATCGATTTGCATCCCTTGTGGTAGATCTGACAAGCCTACACACATCGATATGTATGAGATCCAACAATCCCTCACCTCTTTCACACGAATGATATGTGCATATTTATACACATAATTGTACAATATTACTTAATATTTTTATTACTTTTATGCCCTTATTAGAACAAAAGATACTTAATTTTTTATGACTTATGTTGTAGGGATAAAAGATATGTTTGGAGCAAAAAGGAAGCTAGAAGCTGGACCTGGGAGATGGAAGTACAAAATTAAAGCTCTAAAATGATGAAAAATATCCAAAATGTCATGGTGGATGTCCCATGGTGTGGTGACTTGAAGAATCTCGATTTGCTTCGGAGACTTGTAGACCACGAGATAAACACGAAGACCACGACGTGGTGGCCTTACCACGTCGTGATGCTCTGAGTTCGGGAAAACTATAAATAGATTTCATTCTCCTCCGAATTGGAACTATTTGCTCTGGAAGAAATAATAACTTTTGGAGGACAAACACCAGTTCTAAGGCTTTAAAGCAAGGAATTCAATCATATCATTGGAAGTAGGAGAATTAAGGTAACCAATCTCTACACTTTTATTTTTCATTAGTGTCTATCATGATAAACTATTTGAATTTCGATTTTGTGTCTTTGTTTGCAGAAATCATGAGCTAAAAACTCATGTCTATCGTTTAGCCTAGGATTAATTGTTTAATTATGGTTCAATTTATCGATTGTATTTAGTTATTTGGTTATTTGTTGATTTATCTTATTAAAGAACCTCACATGCTTTTGATTACTATTTTCTATGCTTATTGATGAATTTGATTAAGTTAATATGACTGTATTCCTTAGTTGAATTTGAATCTTATGATCTTGTGAATTGAAAATTTGTAGGACTAGAGTTTTGAACAAAATCTAGGGTTAAGTAGAATAGTGGATAAAAGAGTGTAGGAGCTAATATATGACGACAAATCATATATTGAATTGAATCAATGAACTAAACTGATCAATATATTATAAGTCTAATTGACTCGAACTACACAATAGTAAACTCGTAAGTTTGTCCGCTTGATCACCGAATAAATAAACTAGTTTGCTAAAGGATTAATTTAGTGAATACTAATTTGGTCATCTTAGGAATCAGTAACTAAAGAAACTAAAATCCATTGCACTTTCATAAATTCACCATAATAACAAGTAAATCCGAAGCTAAACGAAAGTCTCTTACTCTCATTGGTTAATTCATTGTTGATCTCTTGCCTTAGTTTAGTTTTAGCTTAATTAGTTAGTTTGGTAATTTAAGTATCTAGTCTTATAAAACTAGGAAAAACTAAATCTTTTCTAATTTTATTAGTAAGTAGTAAATAGCGGAATAAAGATAGCCAAAACACCGTTCCTTGAGTTCGACACTTGTTCTTACCATAGCTATACTATTGTATGATTAGGTGCACTGCATAGTGTGTTTAATAGTCTAGTGAAAGAAATATTATTAAATACACATCATGTTTTTTGCACCATTGTCGGGGAATGGTGCAATCTTAGTTACTTTTATTTTGCTATTTTATTAGGATTGGTTATTGTTTAGTAAGTTTCATTTTTATTCTATGTTTTAATTGCTTTTGACTCACCAAGACATTTTTAAATTTTACCATGCCGTGGCATCGTAGCAGTAGGACTTTATTTTTCGTTTTTATTCTTTTTACGTGTTTCCTTTATTTATTTGTAGATTGTTTATGACCCGTGGATTAAAGTCATCTTTGATTCCACTACTTGAAAACCTAGAATCCGCTTTTCGCAATAACAAAGACAAAACCATAGGAGAACCCGCTACAACAAAGAAGTCGCCTTTTAAGAATATCAAGTCCATTTTTTGCAAGAAAAAAGGGAATGTGGGACAATCCTGCAAAACAATGAAGGATGAAGACACAAAGAGCAATCCAATGAAGGAAGACACCGAGTACGAAACAGAAAAGGAAGGAAGCAAAACAAAGAACCCGACTACACCATCGCTAACATTGCCGACCTCTTGAAAGAGGCGTACAAAAAGATAGTTCGAGACAACCCTGGTCCGGGGCTTGTACAACCCACTATACCCGCCACTGCCACATTTGAACTTAAAGGACACATCCTTACTACATTAAAGGAGATTCCTTTCACCGCAAAGGATCATGAAGACGCTTATAAGCATCTAGATGAAGTCAACGACATCACCGACTACTTTAACATTCCAAATGTACCAAGAGAAACGGTGTTGTTGAGGATGCTCCCTGTCACTTTCAAGGGAGCCACGAAGGATTGGCTAAAGGCACTTCCACTAGGCATGATAACGACATGGGTAAAGATGCGTGAATTGTTTTTAGAAAAGTTTTGTCCACCATCTAAGGTGGCTAAGCTTAAAAGGGCCACTGCCAATTTTGAACAACAAATAGGGGAGTCACTGTATGAAGCATGCGAGCGCTACAAGGGTCTACTTAGGAATTGACCGCAAAATGACCTCAATGTGTAGCAAGAAGTGTCGATCTTTTATGATGTGGGTAAACGTCACCACTAGACAACTCCTTGACTCTCAAGGCCCCTTAATAAAGAAAAATACATCAGAAATTAAGGAACTCATTGAAGAATTCTCTAAGCACTCTAGAGAATACCATAATCCAAGGAATGACATAACAAGAGGTTCTGCTAATGTTGCTTCGGAAGATATGTATGCGGTATTGGCAATGCTGCAAAACATTTATAGAAGAATGACTAAGATGGATCAAACAATCAATGCTATATGGGTTGGGTGTGAAAACTGCAATGGGCCACATTTGTCTAGAGATTGTGACCTTGATGAGAATGGGAATCGACAGGTTCAAGCTTGCTACTCGAGTGGAGATCGTTTTGGTGAAGACTGGCGAAAGCCCAAGAAAAAGTGGCTACCCTATGATAAGTATAAAAAGGATAAGGAAGAAAATCTTGAGCAAAAGGGGAGAGACTTTTATCAAAGAGAGGAACCACCGGTTGAAAAGAAATCTGATTTTGAGACAATGCTCACCCAATTTGCAGCCGCATCTAAAAAAAGGCATGAGGGAACTGAAGCAGTAATTAAAGAACAACAAATAATGATGAAAGAGCAACAAGTGATGATGAACGAACAACAAGTGATGATGAAAAATCAGCAAGCACTATTTAGAAATCAACAAGCTTCAATCCTCAACATAGAACAACAACTTGGGAAATTAGCTAACCAATTCAATGAAAGGCCGACAGGAGGACTTCCAGGGAACACTGAACAAAACCCAAAAGGAGCTCACATCCAAGAAATTACCACTAGGAGCGGGAAAATTATCACTCATTTAACACCTATAGATAGAAGCAACTCGGACAGGGAGAAGGAGGTTCAAGAAGAAATTCAAGGACATGGATCTGAACAATCACCACGATGTGGTACAAATGCCACGGCATTGCCAGAAGTTGAACAGAAAAATGAGGAACTCGTAAAGCCTTACCGCCCACCATTGCCATTACCTAGTAGAGCAATTCAAGAGAAGCATGCTGAAGATTATCGGAGGTTTTTAGACCATATAAAGTCTCTTGAAATAAATATTCCATTCCTTGAGGCTCTAATTGAAATGCCAAAATATGCCAAGTTCCTCAAGGACCTTTAACAAACCGGAAGAAAATGGAGGGACTATCAAAGGTGGTATTAAATGAAACTTGTTCAGCTACCATGCTAAACGTGTTACAAAAGAATATGGGTCATCCAGGAAGCATAACCTTACCGTGCCAATTCGGGAATCTAGCAACTAGTCATGCTCTAGACGATTCGGGAGCTGGTGTTAATTTGATGCCCTATTCGTTTTTCATGCCAACTGATTGATGAAAATGCATGCCCTTGAAGAACGTAGAAATGAGGCATACACTACTTCATTAATATATATGGACAAAACAAAGAAATGGCATGACATGAGACTAAAAGTTCATAAAGATTTTCATGAAGGAGAAAGAGTGCTACTTTTCAACTCAATGTTAAAGCTTTTCCCGAGCAAATTACAAACCAGGTGGGATGAGCCGTTGGTTGTTAAACAATATTTACCACATGGAGCAATTGAGCTTATATCAAGAGACGAAATCACTTTCAAAGTTAATGGACATAGAGTGAAACATTATGAAGAAGGAATGCCAATTGAAGAAAAAGAAGGGGAAATCATCAAATTCACACGAGTTAAAAAAACTTGAAGCGGGAAGGAGTCCGACTTATGACTCCCCAAAAAGAAGCGCTTGCAGGAGGCAACCTGTGATTTTGAGTTTGCATTTTTCATTCCTTTTCTTTTGGTTCATTTTCATTTTATTTATTTTGACTTACTACCTTATACTCTCATTCTTTTGAATTTCAATGGAATTCAACGTTGGGCATGGAATAAAATGAGTGTGGGGTGGTAGTTTTTTTATAAAATTTTGAATAATTTAGATCTTTTCTAAATAAACATTACCACGAGGTGGTAAATTGACAGAACCCGATAAAATAATTCTCAAGGCGATACCACCACGTGGTGAATTCACCACAACATGGTGTCAGTTTAACAACAGTCAAATTAGAGTTTTTAAACCCCATTCAAAAACAATTTTTACCTTTTACATTGCCTCTCTCTCTCTCTCTCTCTCTCTCGACATGTTCCATCTCCCACGAAGAACATCCTTGCAGTTTACTCAATTTCTTTTGTTTTTTTCCAACCAAAAGAAATGGTTGGATGTGCACGACGCCAACAACTTGGGGGTCATCCCGATTTTCTGTTGTATTCTTTTCCTAGGAATGTGGGGCCCAAGATTTACGCAATATGGAATGGAAAAATTGATTAGATGAAGCAGCGAAGGGTCCATGTGCCTGCAGTTCTAGATTGGCACAGTATGGGACAAACCAGGTTAATGGAGGGAATTGAGCCATACTTGGACAAGGCATTCAATAGCATTCATGGGTTGTTCGTTTGTATGGGGTGGAGAAGGTTTTTTGAAATTCAGAAAGTGGTGTATAAGAAGTTAGTCATTGAGCTTCTGGCCACGGTTTCTTTTGCACGAAATGAAGGAATAGTTGTTGAAGACAACCTTTCTTTTGCATTGGTGGAGAAAGGCGTACTTTAAGCCTTGCTAATTTTTCACTGAGGACACATATTTATCTTCCATTTGAGGTCCATTCCGAAGCCTATCAACATTTAAGGTTGAAGCACATTGGAATAAAATAGAAAATGGTGCTTACGATAAGGGGACGGAAAAAGAAAGTGACATCCGCTCTCCTCTTCATTGTCTTCTGCATTGACTTATCACAAACACCATTAATCAGAGATAGGAGGGGGATAAGTGTCCAACGGTAGACATTTTTTTCTTATGGGCTCTTATCACACCCGATGTTTATGTGGACTTACCATTTTTATTGGCAAATTTTCTTGTGTCCCGAGCAAGGAAGGATAGGCGAGGCTCACCTCTTTACGGGGGTATGTTGATCACACAACTTGCATGTTCTTTGGAGTCCTTGATACGCATGAGGCTGTCTTTTTAACTGTGGAGCCCTAGAAGCCTTTCTCTACACTACTTTATAAGAGGGAAAATGTCATTGTTGATCATGGTATGGGTGGTTTTTCCATTCCTGACGATACTCCAAGAGGCCGAGTCCCGAGGCGGGTAAGACAAAGAAGGGACCCTAATGAAGATGCACCACCTGTTGTACCAACCGATGACAAGCTACCCATGGATCCCTATAGCATTTCCAGTAGGAGGTTTGAAGATAACTTGGCAAGGACTGCCAACTACACCAACATGAGCATTGTTTACCCATATACACCAAGTTGGGAGAAACTATGGAAAGAGCAACAAGGGGGAGTAGGCAGTGGTGGAGGAGGAGGGGATGATGGAGATGACGAAGAATGAATGTTATATCCTTTTATTTTTGTGGATTCAAGACTTTGTTTATTTTATGTCTTTGATGACATTCGTCCGACAGTTTATGAGGTGACTCATCCGATTACTAGTTTTATTGTGGAGTACATGGTGGAGCGACCGAACTTCATTGGGTATAATATTGTGTAGACGTTTGATCGCTATGGATGGCGTGGAGCATTAGATTTCAATCTATGCAGATTTATGTTGTTATAGTACGAGAATGGATAATGAAAGACCCTCACTTTCATAATATTAAAAAAATTGTTACTCCAAAACATGCTACATGCATATTCACAAACAACATTTTACATTGATAATTTATTTACAAACGACTAGATACAAACCGACTAAGTTTAAGTTTAGTACATAACTACCAAGGATATTGAATATTTTATACATACTAAAACTTAAATACAAAAGTAATAGTATAATCTATTTTAATTCTTCCAACAGTATAAAGCTATACTGGATGCTTACTGCCTGCAATATATTAAAACATTGAGAGGGTAAGCGGTGACGCTTAGTGAGTTCAATAATAGATACAATATAATGTTATGCCATATATATACTTCAATATGGCAGAAACAAAGAGGAACAAGGAACAACAAAGGCATATATGAATCATGTGACAAACTTTCCATATCAATCAATGACTTGATTCAAAGATATACAATCAATGAGACATAACAATTTCCAAACTTGATATACATCAATAAAGCTTCGGCCCAAATGGCACACAAGACATAAAATTTCTAATTAGCATTTTGGTAGATTTTAGGCATATAGCCCTGTCTAACCATTTGCCAACACCATAGAATCATTCTCTTACCGAGACATGTTCTACATGGACAGAGGCTACATACCAGTACCAACGTGAGTCTAAGTCCTTTCATTGATCACATGGTCAAAGGTATTTCTTTGCTATTAAAAATAGTGAATAAAAATAACACGGGAAAATAACCCGGAATAATAACACTGAAAAGCACATAGCACATATAAGACATAACATACAATTGTTCCTATATATTAAACTCACTTTGAAGTAACCAGGGGTTAAAATAGTAATTTGGGCAAAACTTCGTTACTATAAATAGCTTTCTTCTATAAAAAATCGAGAGCTTTCTTGAAAATTGGGCTGTGCGAAGTTAGGGTTTCAAAACGAAAAGATAAATTTCTCGGGGTCTTCTGGCACTTCGGGGCATGTTTCGGGTGCTAAAATTGATACCGGGGCTTCGAGGGATGTCAAAGTAGTAGAAATATGAAGTTAGGGGTGCACAGTGGCAAAATTTCTAACAAAAACTGGTAGGTCTCGCACCCTTTATATAGGTGAGAGCCTCGGATCCGAAGCAAGAGGAAAGGGGCAGGTGGCTGCGAAGCTGCGAGGCTCGGAACACGTGGCAGCACGGCAAGGCTCGGTTGCGAGGGTCGGAACACGCATTAATTGCAAGACTCGAACACGACACTGAACACACACTGCAATCTCGGTAGACCTCGCTTCGTACGGAAGGATCAGGCGACACACGTCGCTCCTCGAACGCGCCATGACTTGGATGATGCAGTTGGTTCGGATGACTCATCACGACATGCGTCGGACGCCTGCTGGACCGAGCTCGGACCCGGGAAGAATGCGACACGTGACCGATTCCGGACTTATCCATGCGAAATTTCTCGGAAAGTGAGCCCCAAATTTCTAAAATTCATAACTTTCGCATACGAGCTCCGTTTTTTATGTTCTTTATATGCACGCATAGGTAAATTTACGATCTACAACTTTTGTTTAGACTTTGTTGGTTAATTTTGAATTTAATTTTAATATTATTATTTTTAACAGACCGGGACAGGAAAATTCGTTAAAAATTCATAACTTCTTATTCCGATGTCTGTTTTCGTCAGACTTTTTAACGTTGTACTACTATTGACGAGACCTTCGATTCTCATTTAGCTTGTGTCGCCTAAATATCGCTCGATCTTTATTTCGAGTTTTTAGCTGTCTACTGCTATTCCGAAACATAGAAAAATCATAACTTGCTCATACGAAGTCAGATTTAAAAGTTCTTTATATTAAAGTTATTATATTAATGAGTTCAACAAGTTTCATTTAGATCGCTAAGGCTAAAAAGTAGTTTATCGGAAACTCACTTTTTACGTGACATAGTGTTTGCCGGTTTTATCGTGGATCTTCGATTGGTCATAACTTCTTCGTTATAACTCGGATTTCAACGAGGTTTTTGGCTAAACTTTTCTAATGAGATTGTTTACAACTTTAAATAATAAAATTTACTTATTTCAAATTTTATATTTTCGCTAAATTTTACTATTTGGCATTTGATTGGAATCTCATAAGACTTCCAATACTTTGTGAATGATTCTAAGCATAGTTTTACTTCATTTCTAGTAAAAACTATCAGCTAGAACTCAACAATCAAATTTCACATAATTTTTTGTAGTATTATTCACTTTTAAAATTTACAATACAAGATAACTGAACGTGTATGTTACAGATAAGGACACTTCGACATGTTGAGGTGCTTGGTAGGCCGGAGCAGTTGCAGCTGATTGGTATGGTTCATGCTTATGATATAGTGATGATTGTGCAGGATATTCGGGACATGTTTCATGTAGATACTAGATATCATCTTCATGATTTTGAAAATCTACCGACTGAGTATAAATGTATTGACACAAGTGGGGGTAACATTGGGTTAGCATGGCAGAAGTATACCGCACAATATTCTGTGAGGGGATGAGGGTATATGTCATGTTTCGTGAATTGGTGGATTTATCAAAGGCATTGCATAACATTATCACAGAAAATGTGAACCCGAGAAATAGTGATCCCATGGCGGTGAGGACGCAGGACTTATATGTATTGTATGGATTGATGATAAGATCCATCTTTATCTCTTATGCATATAATGCTATGTGCAGCATATGCTCTTGTTTTGATATCCAGAACAGAGTCAACCCCCCCCCCCCCCCATGTTACCCTGATATCAATATATGTGACTAGGGAGCTTGGGAATAGGATCAGGGTCCCACGAGCTACATCATACCAACTTATTCTTTGCCCCAGTGCTACTTCTTTCAGATACATCATTTCATGTTGAAAATGGGAGGCATACTCTAAGGGATTCTGCCACGAATCTAACATACACAACACCACTCGGAGTGGGGGATGAGGAGCCATTCGTTGGTGATTTTCAGGGTGATCAGCAGCAGCAACAGGGACATGCAACAGCTCAGGGATGGAACATGTGGGCATCATGGGAGGACTTTGTAGGGAGGCAAACAACGCATAACGAGGAGGTACATAATTTGATGGGGATGACAAATCTTTAGATGGAGGGTGTCGACACGACACTAGCTGATCTTACAAAGCATATGTGACAGGTTGTCATTATAGCTGGCAAAACTTATAGTGTTTCCACTTGTCAACTGTACGAACATGAGTACTATGCAGATGCCACCTATAGACTGAGTTATATCCAGTATGAACCGATGGACATTGATCAGCCACAATATTATATCAAGCTCCAGCACTGGTTTTCTGCCGATCCGGGGATCCAAGAAACTATCCACTGTCATCCGAGTATGAGCATTATCAGCCACCACCAGTTACAGAAGACTCTACTGAATTTTATGATTTAGTTGGCTCGACCTTTGGGTATCCTCCACCATACCCACGATATCCTCCACAGGTTCCCCTCTAGTGAACTTTGGTAAGATCCTCTTTTGATTTTTATTTTTATGGTTGTGCGATGAAAACTTTTTATTTTTATTTTTATTTTTCTTTTGATATTTATGTTGTAACGCCCGTAGATCCGGGCTAGTCAATTTAGAGATAATAGGGTCGAAAACAACTTTTCGACAAAATATTATTTAAAATAAATAATCTTAAACAAGTTGTAGAATATGTCTCAAGGGTTCCGTACATATAAAGAACACCGAAATCCGAGTTATAACGAAGAAGTTAAGGCCTGTCGATGTTTTACGGCAAAACCGACACGACACCGGAAGACGTAAATAGAGAATTTACGATGGAGGACTTTTAGCCTTAGTTATCTAAACCAAAGTTGTAGTATACGTTAAACCGAGAACATCTTGAAAAAGAACACCCAAATCTGACTTCGTATGAGGAAGTTATGATTTTTCTAAGATTCGGCTTAGCAGTGCACGACCCGAAACTCGAATTTTAGTTCGAGCGGTTTTTGCCTTACGCAAACTTAATGAGAGTTGAAGGTCTCATTAATAGGAACTCAATCATAAAAATACAGGTGAAAACGGAGTCCGTATGAAGGAGTTACAAATTCTTCGTGGTCATTTAACAGTCTAATCTCCTCCTATTGTTAAATTTAAGATCAATCGAGAATTAGCCAATGGAGTCTAAATGAAAGTTGTAGATCTTGTTTCTACCTACGAGTGGAAGAAAAGAACTTCAAAAACAGAGATCGTATGAAAAAGTTACGGGGTCTAGAAGTCGGCAGGGTGTTGTTGCAAAAGGGGTGACGTGGCTGAATAAGGGCCAAGGATTTCTCCCCAAGGGAAGCCATCAGAGGGTGACACCTGGCATGGAATCGAAGAGTAGGAGGACCTACTCGAAGAGTATATCTGTTTTCCAGCCTATAAATAGAGGTGTCGGGCTCCTTCATTCGTCACACCTTCCCAACTTCACTTTCTCTCTCTAAACGCTCTCTCTAACCCCCCACCCCCCACCCCCAAAAAAAAGCCTAGGGAACCTCCCTAGTACCCGAAAGAAGCCCCGAGGCTCCCAGAGTCTCAAGAAAAAGGGTCTTTCGGCTTGGAAACGCTGCTCTAGCGAAGCCCGGTTTCGCGAAAACCCGCTGTAAGTGAGCTATGCCTACCCTATCTTTAGTATAGCTTATGTTTTAATATAGTAACGTTATTAGGAACTTATAATGAGTATTTGGGCTATTATTATGAGTTATATAAGAGTGTTTCTTAACGCTTATATAATAGTAATAATATCT